TGATGGAAACAAAAACAAACTTGGTTCTAGAGTAACTACGTTACAGAGGGTGAAAGTTAGGTAGAAATTACTATACATAATGTAGCAGAGGCCGAACATTCTGGAGAATCTACAGCATCCACCACTCATATATTCATTTTTTATTACTGTCCACTATATTTCCGTGCTAAAGAATTTACAAACTTGCATGCTATGACAAAAAAACATGTCATGCTTGTTTTGTCTTTTGACATTTAACACGTATTAGCAATTGTTGTGCATGTTCTCAGAATATATTAGAACTGTTCGGAAAATTGTGGATTGGAGTTTACATTAAACATCAATCATTTAGAACAAAAAAGCCAATTGATCAGCAATCATCAGCACAAGTAACCAATTTTTACTTCAGAGCAATCATTCCACGCCCCTGATTCTCTCCGATGATCTTAAAAAGTGAGCTGAGCAATCATACAACCCTCCATTTCACCATCTCTGTGAGTCTTTCACTGCGGCTTGATTAGCTGATGCCTATGTGTGTGTGTGTGTGCCCTCTGTGTCCATAGACTTTGTGTGGCCTTAGCTCTTTTGTGTTCTCAAATTTTTTTAAAATAAAGAGTGTTTATATGTTATATTGATCTGTCTCTAAATGATAGATAAAACACCAGAGTCTGTTTTTATTGCCTTTGCACTGCGCCATACATGTGCAGACATCCCCATGAACCAGTTTAAAATACTACTGGAAAAAAAAGCTGAAAAAACCTGCTGAGAATGGCCCTGACCACAGCCAATAAGCTGGATTTGAAGAAGCTCAGCTGTTCAAACAATATTCTTCATAGCTCTGAGCTACAAGAACTTTGAACAATTGGAGGAGTTTGATTCTACAGTTAATTCATTTTCCTGTAGAATTTTATGAACACATCCTCTCGTTTCATCCACACTTTGTATTGTAGAAATGTACGCCAGGGATGTTCCCCGAGTTCAGTGTTGCTATTAATACGCAGTTGACCTTTCATTCCCCGATGTGCCACTCCCAGCCGAGTGGACACATGACCACTGGGCCTGATTCCCCTGAGAGAAGGGCCCAGCATTGAATTTTTGTTGTGCTGCTTACAACAGATTTGGCAGTGGGTTTGTGTAAGATTCCAACATGACTATATACAGTCACAGAATGATAACATTTTTGATAGAATCCAAAATATGTTTGTTGGGTACTAACACTTCAATAATTGGCTATGCCATTGCTCACTGTCTAAATATACTTAAAATCCACACAAGCACACATTAAAGGTTGGGAATACCACAGGATTATGTCTGAGAGGAAAAAAGAAGATGTTTTATTTGAATTTTCTTACTAGATAATAGGTAATGGGTAATAAAAGAAAATACATTTGGCTTGCTTTAAGGCAAGCCAAATGGATACTGCATGTAGAAGTTATTATACAACAATAGTTATTATACAACAACTACAATCAAGATTGTAACACAGAACAACTACTGCATTAACATGAGTTTGTCAAACCAGGTAGAAACTTGATCAAATGCAAGTCCACATGGCCTTGCGCATGACACAAAGGTTATTTAATATCTTATATTCATACACAATGGTGTTTGTGTAAGTGGTTTAAAATGCATTTTCACAGCAAGGTTGATCTCATCTACCTGCCGTTATCTGTATTGAGGCAGCATCCATGTATTGTAATCCCTACTTTTCTTTACATGCCAGTGTTCGCATTCTTGCACTCTGCTTCTGTACTATCTACCACTGCATCTGCATTATATTTGCACCACTTTCATCGCTTAAAGGTGCCCTACCTCTTCCCTTCTGCTTCTGCTTCACAGCAATGTAAAACCACACAGCAAAACATGCTGTTTAGAACATCATAACAAATTATTATGCACAGCATTTTATACGCCATTAGATAATATTCCAATTTATTTGGCTCATTTCCCACAGTGAATTTCAAATAGTTTATTTAGTCAAATATCGAACACAATGCAAAGTCCACCTGATCTTGTTTCATGTTTTGCTCTCGGTTTTAAGAACAAACAATCAAGGCTGTGCTTTTTTTATGCACATTTAAGTCATCACTCATCATCTGCAAATTATAGTGGAAGGGGCTGTGCCATGAGACTGGACGGAGAGAGAGCTTTGCTGCATTGCACTGAATGGAAAGCTCCAGGCACAATGGGGAACAGCACTCCTGTACCACACCCATCTGCACTATGATGTTTTATCAATGAGGAAGGGTAATTTTATCGCACTGAAAAAAAAGAGAGAAATAATTCCCGCTGCAGTAAACAATAATCATTAGCAGACGTCAGCCACTGGTCATATTATGCGGGTCATTGCCTGGAATCACAACTGTGACCTGGAATCACCTCCTGTATTCGTCTTTGTTGACAAGACAAGCGAAAAAATAATGTCAGAAAAACATAAAAAAGATGCAGAGCAGGTGACAGAGGTGAGAATTTGAAGCAAAATGTAAAATGTACTGGATTAAATGTGTAATTTACACATTGAAGGTTCTGTCTCATAGAAAATGCAGATTTTCTCAAAAGATGAAATATAGAACCTCTCTTTTTTTACAACACTTGTGTTTTTTATATCAATCTTTCAAATATTTATCATTTTTAACTCAAAAGAATTTAGATTCTTAAAATGTCTTAATGATTCCATTGAGTTTTGGGGGGAGACATTCAGATGATGTAGAGAGATAGCAGATAACGAGCCCATGATAATCATAATTACCTCCTCTTATATCATTCATAAAGCACTGAAAACTGCAAAATGACAGGTAAAAACTTCAAAATCTTCTTAATTCTCACTATTAAACATGATCATAGTCTTCCATCTTTTGACTCAGTCCATTTTCATTTCCATCATCTGAAACTCTACATGGGTAAAGTGAGGATAGAATGCAGTGCATGCTAATGAGTAACTTAATACTGCTGCCTCATCCCTTTTCTGTCCAACTACCAGAGCAGCACTTTTGCTTGCTCACCTTTGGTGTCAGTAAAAAGAGCCATTACTCTAGTTTACAAATAGAAGGCTGCAAATCCTATTAAGAATAATCCACTCCACTCCCAGGGAGACACTAGGCAGCAGGGTACATGATTATTTATACACGTCCATTTCCATGAGAACGATTTTTTTAATAATGAGTCTACGAACGTATTATGTAGCGACAGGAGCGACAAAAATAAGCTAATAAATGAATAAACAAATGTCTTAAGTAAATGCACCCAGTGCTTATTGCAAGGCTAAAACCTGGTGATGGCACCGGCCAGCTTCTGGAACGGGTGGGCCAAAAAGCAAATGGCCCATATGCCTGTTCACACTGTGAGAAAAGCCAATGGCAAAGTGTGACAATGATGAATATCTAATAGACGGGAATCTGATTGGCTTGCTTGTCTAACTGCAGTTTGCTGCGTGTGTATATGGAGTGATCTGCTTACCAAATGAAGCTTTCTTATTCCTGGCTGCTGGCCACTGAACAACATGTGGCTGCGGACGAGAGGTTTATCCCAAAAAGTGAGCCCGCAGTTACTTTTAAACCAGCTATGAGCAGAAGTGGATAGCTTATCTTGATTACACAGATCTGTCAACAGATCTGGCGACCATTACGTATTTTCAGTGCCTTGAGATGGTAAAAGGGCATGCATCTTTAGCTCAAGTCAATAAGCTGGTTTACTGGCATCACTGTGCTGATATCACACTGAGTTCCATTGTGAGCCAGTTACATAAGACAGCTTGTATTATATTGTATTATCTTGTATCAGCACAAAATCAGCATAACCTTTGTGAATATTTTGATCATGTTTTGTCTCTTATGAAGAGTTTACATTATAAATTATTTTGCATGTCATTTGATTATGTGACAGAGTGTAAACTAAGATAGAAAAAAGGCATTGATTTGACTGTTTGATTTGAACGATTGGTCTTTAATTACTGTGTGTTTGCAGAGGGATATCCTTCTACAAATAATGACACTGAATAGTGATTTGTTGTATGGGTTGAGTTAAGCTGTGTCGCAATATGAAAACACTGTAATTTACATGGATGGAAACAAAAATACTCTAAAGCATCAAATCCATCATAAATCATAATATTGGAATTCAATGAATGCTGATTATGTATGTTATTGAACAGTCGCTCAGCACTTGTGACATGCCCAACAGAATGTGACTTGTATTACAAGTAGTAACATGTCGGATGGACTAATGTCAACTGACCAATCTGACAGAAACACTCTTCTCATACCTAGAAGCAACCCCCCAGACTATTCTATTTCTGTCCGTGTATCTACCTCATTTTTGTCTCCTTAGTCCCTGATCTCGTTGACTGTTATGAGAAGTGACTGTCTATCAGACTCTGGGCAATTCTATTACTCAAACCTTTTATTGAGGCTGCGCTCACATTCACAGCACTGTGACACAAACCGTCATGGACAGGAGACAAATATGTGCGTGTGCATCTTTGTATACACACACACACACACGCTGACAAAAGTAGACGGCCAGTAGATGTGTGCTCAGCAGGCAGACGCACAGGTCTGAGCAGAGCAACACAGAAAGAAACACACAAACGCAGACAAAGAACACACGCATGCTCCTTCGCTATTACATTTGTTCTCAATAAACTAAATCTCAGCATATGTTTGTAGTCGCGCCCCTGGCAGAGGGGAGGAGTGTCCTAGGAGCCCACTGCAGAGAGCCTTGTTGCCAACCCACTGCGCCAACCTTGATGACATTGTTGCTATGCACTATTCACCAGAGCAGGACCAGTCCTTCTGTGACTGACTCAGCTATTCAAGGTAAATATGTCACACAGCGACAGCGACCAGTAATGCTGTCTCTCGTGCCATTGTGCTCCTGTGCCTTTAATGTTTCTTGACTTCGGCAGGGGGTTGGACTTCATTCTACCAGTTGTAACATCAGGATATCAAATAGAAGGTCAATAAAAGTGTTCAGACACCAACTCGCAGTAGAGCTGTCTCAGCAACAAAGCCACTCTGTTCCTGAGCCACACCCGTCAACGCAAATGTCCGCACACCACGCAAACAGACACACACCCAGTATCGCAATTACTCAGAGGCCTAATTTACTCTTTTATGAAAGCTTTTTTGGATGCCTAAGCTCTTCGCTGTAACGATGCTTCCAGTTGACAGATCTTTCCTTTGTATTTTTTATCCATTGTTCAGTCTCAAGGCTATGAAAGCAGCCTGGGACATTTTCAGATCTCTTCAGAGATGCTCTACTGGGTTCAGATAAAGACTGCGCCTGGGTCACACCAGAGGCAGAGTTCTCTCCAAGCAACACCTGCGCCCTCCTTTTCTTTATTTTCTTACTGTTGTTGCTCCAGGTAGAGTTCCTGAGCATTCTAGGAAATGGTTTTCACTCATAATTGCTTTATTCTGTGGTAACAGGTCCACCAGCCTGTCACAGAAAATGTTCCCTTTGACCGATACTCCCATCACCAGGTCTAACTACATGGTTTTCTTCACACATGCACTTTGGAATTCTATCATCTATCAATGTGAGTAATTGAGTATTTCATTTCTTGTAGTGTTCATGGCCGGTGTGTCAAAGTGTGTTCTTGGCAGGTTATTATGTGTATTTTAAGGAGGTTCATAAATGTCTAATTGCAAAACAAAACCCTTAAATTCCATTTGTTCTATTCAAGTATAAGTACATGTGCAAAACGGCACTAAACTTCAATTGTTTTGCTGCACTTATATATTTTTTAAAGAATATACTGGTCTTTCTAATGTCTGGCATGACTTTATTGTGAGTCACCATGGCTATAATCATATGTCTCACTCACATATATTGCAAGACAGTCGAAGAAGCTTATCCTGGCAAGGATTTGGTCCACTGAGAGTCCTCAGGCATCAGTAACACCATACTCTTGTTATATCTAACCTGATAAAAGGCTGGAAGTCTCCATGTCAAAACAGGAGATACATCCAAATGTAGTGGAGGATGACAGAGCTAGGACCCAGTGGGACTTAAAAACTCAGATTGATGAACTGATCATTGCTATCCTGCTGAAATTTGCAGTGGATGGAAAGCTAGTGACAAATATATAAATCACAACAATAGTAATAACAAAAATGTTACATTTGTAAAATACAGAGAAAGAATTGTGGAAAAGAAAGGGAATTGTGTGGTAATCGGAGAACTGGAGGCTGTGGTCCTAAACTGAGAGTGATTTCTGATAATTCCATGAACAACATCCAGAGTGCAGCCCTAAGAAAATGTATTGTGTAGACATCGCCCCTCAGGTCTCAAGCCATTCGGAGTGGACCAAAACGTAAGTGTCTTTAAATGATTTTATGCCGATCACTCCTCTGGCTACGGCGAGGCAAATTCATACAGCACTTGCCCACAGGTAGTCAGGGAGGCATGTCTGCACACAAGCACACATAATGGAAAAGTCACATCCTACACATCCCACACATAACACAGCCCAGCACAACAAATCAATAGTGGCATCTCAATGTTTAACTCTGACTCTCTGGAGGTCTTGAAAAGAGGACTTTTTAACAGGAGCAAAATATAGCTACAAACAGGGAAGAAGAAAGAGAAAAACACGAGAGAGATCATTACAGAAGATGATAGGGGGACGCAGAAATCCCTGAGAGGAAGAGGAGGAATGTTCTAAAAGGCTGTGAAGGACAGAGGAAAGGTGAATTGAAAAAGTATGAAAAAATAAGGAGGAAAAACGTCCTTTTGACAGAAGACAATTGAAGGTGAGGCAATATATAAAAAAAACAGCATAAAGGAAAAGCCCTGAGTGTGTGGCCAGGCATTTGAGAGAAACAGAGAGACACAGAGATACAGTGACAGGCCACATGAGAATAGACAGGGGTGTGTGTGCAGCATGTCAATACAAATGCAAAGTCACTCAAAGGCTTCCATTCAGATGGAATTCCAAGCTTGGCCCCCAGACCTCATGTGAAACACATAGGAAAGGCGTTCACTTAAAGATGTGGCAAAATATATGATCCATTACATTTGGCTTGGTTTGAAGCAATTCATCCCACATCAATGTGTTGCTTTACCTCCCTCCTGAAAGACTGGTACTCCTTTAATTTCTTGTTTTTTTTGGTCAGCACAGAAATCACCGTGTTTGCTCATGTACACCACATGCTGAAGCATCAAAACCCCATTTCCTGAAGGAATACCTGGATGTCTTGGTGTGTATGAAAGTGTAATGTCCGACCTGGACTGCACTCTCATTCTCTACCTGCTCTGAAACTGGGTGACTCTGGGGACGGAGCGCTGGATGGACAGATCTGAGTCTGCAACATGACAAGTGAGAAACATGAAATGACGAGGCAGAAAGAGCGAGGGGGAATACAGGCAGAGGGGGGAGGCCATATATGTGGGAGATACCTGCCTGAAGAGACAGTGTTGTCTATTTTGTATGGGAATATCACACATGTTCAGATTTATTTCCCTGATCATGTCAGCCTTTTTTTTCTTTTCTCTATGTAAAAACATTTTTATGTCCATTTTTCTTTTTAAAATATGAATTATATTAATATGTTTGCCCATATATTATTTCATTTACAAAGTAATATCATCTTAGGTAAGAAAAAATGTTAACCTTTTTTATAATTTTCAACAGCAGCAAGGTTAGATAGATTATTAGATCGAATCATTTGCATTTTTTAGCAGAATTATATGTATCGGTGTATTAAAAGAAAGGTGTGGCATATTAATGCAACTTCGCTGTGTATGTTTAACAAATGAAAGGATACATCCGCACACCGCCAGATCTTGAGCCGATCGCCAGGATTTTCTGCACTGGATCAAAGGCCAAAGCAGAGGGCTGGTAAGGAAAACCATGACGAACCGTCTGAAAGGGAAAAGAAATACAGATCAGTGTTTTATACAAACGAAACAAAATTTCTATATATCTTTATTGGATAGGAAATAAATTAAACGATTCTTTTCGGTGCCTCTAAACTAATAAAGGTCAGATTAGATTCCATTCATAAAGCTTGTTTTTTCACTATTTATAAAATCTCAGAAAATAGTTTTCTAAATTCATGAACTGAAAACACAAAGATTACATAGAACTACAAGTAAACTGCACTTTTCATGCAACTGGTTTCTGATGTGATACTAATTGGATTAGCTTCAACAATGAAATGTGAAAACCTGACAAAGCAAAACAACAGCGTTTCTCATACGCCCACTCGAAGAGACACTGCATGCTCTGCAGCTGTCTGCTGTTCCTGCCATTAGTCATGTTAAATATCCCAGTGGGGCATCACTTACAGAAACCAGCTCTGGGTGGATGTATAGTAGAGACATGGACATCATCACTGTTAAATGAAAACATTCAACAATATTTGTGTTCTATCAGGAAATGCAGTGTGTAAAAATATTCATGTAAACACTGTGATGGGGATCCCATGTGAACAACATCATCATGCAGCGACACATCATAAATGTGTCAAATGTTTCCTCAACTAATTCCTCAAATTCCACGTAACTCAATGTTTTATTTTCCCCAATTCATCAACTCTTTTTCTTTCTTTTTAACTATAGGTTTAAGCCTTAAATTAAACATCATGGGAGTTAATCAATTTCTTGGTCAAATTGGACTTTTCTCTAAAAGTTGGCAGTCCATCCTCATCAGCTTTCCCTCTCAGGTCGCCACAACACAAGATCTGCAGCAAACTAAGAGCAATCCTGTCATTCGCTCTTCTTTTTTTGTGATGGAACCCTGGAGTAAACTCCATCTTTTTCAGCTTTGCCTCTGGGTAGAATCGATCACTGGCCTTCTCTCCAGCACACAGCTCCCTTAAAAAAGAAGAGCTTGCCAGCGGTGTCCAAGCTTCACATGCGGTGACACACAAAGCTTTTACCTCGGTCTGCCTGTTCCAGCTGATTTGTTCAGTGAAACACAGTTATTTCAGACAATTATTCATAGGCAGTATAAATCTGAAAGCTCAGTTTGCTATTTAGAACATCTAAAGAGTGAACAACAAACAGCATGTGCTCGGGGAAAGAAAAAGAGTATTTTAGTATCAGACAGACTGAAACCTGGGCAGAACCAATGAACTGAGCATTTATTTCTATAGGCTCAGCTCAGATCAAGACTCAGTATTGTCTTCGTCTGACTGCAGCAAAACAGATCTTACTAGTTGTAACCTAATCCACCTTTCACTGTAGTCATGGATTTCATTTTTTACTGCAGCATCAACATTTCAAATTCAGCGGAACAAGTCTACAATTCAGTCTCTTCATGTCAATCCATCACTTATGCTGCTTCTTCCTACTAGGGTCTTGAGGGGTCTTGAGCAGGTACATTCTGGGCAGGTCGCCAGTCTATCGTAGGGGCACGTAGAAACTAATTTATATGTACAATCTAATCTATTTGTTGCAATGGCACATGTTTCTACTAAAAGAAATACTTTTTTTTTTTCATAGAATGCACATTTCAACAAATATTAGCTTTTTCTACTCGAAATACTGAACAGATTTTCTGTGTAATTCTGTAAAGTTCCTATCAATGTGCATCAGTGTGTGCCAGGTGCAGCATACCAATTAAGACAACCTGACCTTCAGTTGCTGCCGTTTTATTGGTAAGAAGTAAACAGCAGGGTTCAGGGCCACCGGAGCCAGTGGGCTACTTGCATTAAAAAATCATTTGGATACAATACTTAAGTTTCCTAGTTAAGTATGAACATATGTTTAGTGATTCAGAAGTCTGATTTTGAAAATATCACCGAAATTTCCTTTAGAACAAATGTACCACAACAAAAGTCACATTAACTGCAATTTTGTGTCTGAATTGGATGTCGCCTTAAACAAAAGCATTCACTAAATGCACAAACCTAAACATTTAAAATTGCAATTGGAAACTCAACTCATGTTGTTTAACAGTTGTGTTCTTTTTTATTTTACTCAAGACAAAACTTGGAATCTGAAACAGTTTTCTGAAGGGAATCTAAACAGTTATTTTTTCATTTCTGAATATCAACACAGTGACATCCTTAATAATACATGCTAAATTTACTGCTTAGTATCCAGCATTCTCCAGCAGTGCAACTAATGCATCTGAAAGGAACTGAACTGTAACATATGCGCCATGAGCGCCAACTGGAAAATAGCGACACACATTAATGCATTCTATTAACTTCAGTGAAAATTGCTTTAAGATAGTAATTCTCTTTAAGGTTTTTGCCTCTAAATTGGTCACTCTAAATATGGGATTAGAAACAAGCTTGCATCTCCTCTCTGTGGTGGTGAGCTAGGATAGGATAGACACAAACATTTACCTTTATCTTTAAAAGAAACTACCATCCTTACAACCCCAATTTACAGAAGAAAGACAAAAAAAGATTGAGTTTTTTATGTGAGTACCAGGAGAGCGACTAAGGCAACAAAAATCTGCAAATAATTATCTTGATGTTATCCGAAATTGCCAATTAAAAACCAAACCATGACTTCTGTTCAACCCTGAATTATTCATGTGAATTAATACGCACTCATCAAGGATAAACACATGCAGAACTTTCTGAAAGAACCTGCTAAGTTCATGTTCACATATCCTCCAGGTGTTGCCATCAGACCCCTGTAAGTTGTGTAGGGAGTCTTGTGCACAGTTGCTGGGATACAGCTGCGCCAACCCCTATATCGACATACGAGTGAATCAAGAAGTGGATGAGAATCGCGTTCAACTCAGAGATCTTCATACATATTTGAAAACCAAAGCCATGCAGCTATTTTTTCACATCCATCCACCTATCCGTATATCTATTCATCCATCCACCATGACACAAGTACCACTCTGTTTTGTGGATTAAGTCATCTAAACTCTAAATGAAGTCAGCAGCATTGTTCATCTGCAACACAATACATCCACTAATGCTGCCAAATGCTGCATCAAATCAACTTTGCTCCTCGTCCACCCCCTTTTATTGTCTCTTTCTGTTTGCAACATATATTCAGGCTTTGTGCATATGAGCCCTGTGCTTTCATACAGATATCCCCACCCCCCATAGACAGATACCACCTCATGCCACCCACCAGCCTCACTCTCTCTCTCTCTCTCCACACGGCACTCAGCTGCAGAGCTGGTCTAGACCCCTGTTTCTATAAATAGCAGCCAGCACCCATGTCTGCAACTGCAAACCAACTGTGCATTGAGCGACTGAAGCTACAAATGCAGCACAGATACACCACATCACAGTATAATTGCAATATACATAAGTACTAATGTATGTCAAAACACTATGTGATATGCAATATATAGCCTACATGCATTTAGTATGCAAATGTAAATTACACAGCGTTGTGAGAAATATGTGCACCCTTTGCAGATGATGCAAATAGAATATGTGGCCAAGAAAAGCCTGAAAAATATCCAATTGTATCGATCCTTTTTCTTTATCATTCCTCTCTTAAAAAGACTATTGTAGGCTCTTCTACTTATCTGACTAGAGTACATTCACTGACATGAACAATGGCCAGTAGCTTCCCTCTTTTACTTCCAACAACATCACATCGGCCATTTTCACTAAGAAATACAGGTAAAAACTTTAGTTCTTGGCAGAGGACGTCCAGATAAAATAGTAGCTTGATTAAAAAAGACTCAAATTCTGGATCATCTTGGGTCAGTTTTATTCAATTGCCCTTTGAGTGACTGTTCTAAATCTTGAATCATCCAATTTAGTTGGATGTACTGTCCAAAAAATGTATGCAAGTAAAAGAAAATGAACGAAAAGGCAAAAATGATTTCATTACCCATTGTTTTTGTAGTGACTAAGGACAAGCAGCCATTTACATGTTCTGCTACCCTGTTGCTAACGTCCAAATGCGTGGCTGGATGACCTAAGATACAATTGCACATAAGTGATGTTGTGAGCTGAGCAGCAGACACAACAATCTCCCTCCCCGATTGATACAGAGGAATGACATGAAAGGCCACTTACTGATAAGTAAGTGGCGATAAGTGGTGAAAAACACATGGTGAATGTAGCCTGGGTGATGTCAAGGAGAATTGTAGTTTGTGTACACAAAGTCTGAGCAACAATTTCACAGTTTTGCTTGAATAACTGCTTCAATGAATATATCACTAGAACCTTATTTACGCTTTTGAAATGACCAGTGGCTAAAATAAAGCTAGTAGTTGAAAATGAATATCACTGTAGCACAAGATACAATTTACTTATGAGTCCCAAACTACAGATGGAACACCTGGTTCTTGAGCTAACTTGGCTTCATGTGGCTAGTTGACTCTCAAAGCTGTCTTTATCATTTTCTTAATGAACAACTGAAGGCAAAAAAGATTTCCTGTTTCCCTTTGGTGGCCAAGGAAAGTAGGACAGTAGATAATTTATGAATAACTTTCTAGGCAAACTGTTTAATTGCAGGACAGATGTGGGTATATGCAACTTTCATGCAAAGTGAGTAAAAATGATTTTTTCCCCTTCCCTACCACAACATGCACAGAGCCTGTTTGTACAAACTAAAACAATTATAATTGCTGGCATGTTTTGTTATTGTGGCATCTGTGTAGACGATTTGAAAATAAGTAATGACAAACATTGTTTTTTTAGCTGCTATGCTACCTGCTATGCAAATATTTCATACTCAGAATAACATGTTTATGATCTGTAAATATCTTCCTTGTATCATATTTTAAATCTAATATGTGCCTTTACCTGCCTCTGCCTCAAGAACTTGAAAAGATGTGTATGTCACATCAACATCCTGTAGAGAAATAAATCTATTCTCAAAATACTTTAAAGCTTAAGGGTAAAGTCTAACATGTACAACGAGAACTGAAATTCAAAGAGAAAGAAAAAGAACTCAGGCACATAAGGTATATTTTTGTCTGCC